CCCCCTTCCACTCAGGAGAGTAAAACTTCTACAGGTATAATATCCAGATTCTAGGAATTTAACCTTCTAGTAACTAAATAATTGACAATTCCTCATGTGCTGCTGTCCTGGGCTAGTTAAGGGTAGTTTAATCCTGAATGGAGAAGGAGGAAAGCCCACACTTGAGTGGGAAAAACACAGACCCTGAGCCTGGAGAAAATTCTCGTGCCTGACTCAGCTCCCTGGCAAACGCAACCCAGTCATGTTTTGTAACACTTCCCACTTTGTTTCCACCTGGAATTTAGTTCTGGGATGTTGAAAATCTCGTAATTGTAGCATCTTCCCCACCTGCTGTGGTGAAAAGATTCTGGTTTAAAGCCCTCCAGCTCCTGAAAGCACAGGGGTCTTGATAGCCCACCTTAAATAAGACACATAAACCTGCACAGTAACTTCCTTTAATTATTGTTTTTCCCTTCATGGAGTCTTTTGTACTGATTAATGAACTTCTGTGTCTGCAAGTAATTAATCCCTTCACTGGTTATGCAGAGTCTGAAGAAGTAATTGGTGCAGAACAGGCAAATAACATACTATTTATGTATTCTGCCCTGGAATTAGGCTATCTTTTGAAACTGTGTGATTGCAGATGTCAGTAGACAAAACCTCTTGGCAACATGAAATATTAATCAGTTCTTATAGTTTTATAAATATTTAGAAATGTGTTAACCAGTTGTTTATTTCTCTTAGGATTTGATGGAAACATTTGTGGTGGGAAATAGACTAAACTCCAATTTGTTTTGTGTGTTAAAGAGGAAAAAAAAATCCAGTCGTGGGTAATAACTAAATGCTGCAATATGTTTTGAGGGCAAATGAGGGTATTTTGAAATACACCATGCCAGTGGGTAGCGCAGGAGTTTGCGTCCCACACGGGCTGTGCAGTGAAGCCCCAAAACCCTTCAGGAACGTCGCCGTGCCCAGAGCAGAAGGGCTGACACAGCCCTTGTACCAGAAACTGCAATGCTGCGTGATGGCCAGGGCTTGAGCAGAATCAAACCAACGCAACTAACAATCCCTGGATCCTTGTAGCTGTAACCTACCCGAGCCAAAAGGAAAGTGTGATGTGAAAAAGAGCAACGCAGGTTGGGATCCCACCCGTGTGAGCCCACGGTGGGTCTCAGGCTCCCGCTGACACCAGCCTGTAACGCACTGCGCAAGGTGACCCTTCGTTGGGGTGCTGCCTGACTCTCTGCTGAGCTGGTTGCCCACTGGCTTCTCAGTTTGTGACTTTTCAGCAGATTCTAGAGCCTATCTGTATGCACGTAAACAGAGTTTTATGTTAAATGCTGGTCTCTGGTTTAGTTTCTGGTTTTAGTGGCGGTGTTGTCTTGAAGATTCTGAGTAGACCTAAGAGAAAAACAGCTTCCGTGCTCACCTTGTGCCAGTGGGCATTTCTGTTTTTTAACATAACCTGGTGCAAACACTTACTGACAACAGGTGAGTGACTGGGCTACTTAACTTCTTATTCATAAAGGTATAGTTATTTTTGTGTCACATACACATGTAACCCTCACAAATAAGCTCGTTACAGAGAAGCCGTCATTTAATTTGCTAACTCTGCTTTAATTAAACGTCACTCAACCAGCAAGCTGTTGAGCACAGATTTCCATTATTGATATCAGCAGGAGAAAGATTCATTGCTTTGCTACACAGAGAAAGTCAGATTTATCTGAAAGGCTTATCTGTGGTGGACGTTCTACGATTTCTCCAGTGGAGAACATGCAGAAGCCTTTCAATTAAAAAGTACTTGATCTTCAATTATTGATAGGGTAAAGAATTGAAAGGCATATGCAAATCATAGATTTTGATCAGAGCCTCAATTAGTCAGATTTCAGGACAGCCCATGTACTGAACCGAGATGATTCGCGTTTCTCTGCTCGTTATGGGAGGCAAGGCAGTAGCAGTGTTCTTCATTCTCCTTTTGAAACATGATAAACACAATATTAGTCCCACAATAGGACATATTAGTTCCCCAAACTGGAGTTGGGGCCCTCCTCTTTTTCCCTTTGTTTGACTGTGTACATGTATTTTCCATGTAGTGGGATTTTAGAGGACCCTTTAATTGGCTTTCTTCTTAATAAAGCCAACCTAGAGCAGCAGTAGACATAGGCCAATGCTTAGGAGGCCTTCCTATTGGAAACGTAAAAATGTTTTCATTTGGTTTTATCTGTCAATCAGGGCAGGAATAGTCTGAGCCCTACCCAGCCTCAGTTGAGACTCTGGAAGGTCCATTTGAAAACAGCTGTAGAAACAGGACCAAATACTTTGGGCTAGGAATATTTTTGATACATCATACAAGTATCATCTCTGGGACAGTTTCCTCTTTCCAGGAATGTATTTGTTCTCAATTTTGGAATTTTGTGTTTAGAAGCCGATTGTACCTGTACATCATTTGAGACAGAGAATTTATAAAGATGTTCTTGTATAATTAAGATAGGAGGGGAAAAAAAATAACCAGAAGCTACCCCATTTTGATGGACACATGGTATCTTGTTGAGGTTACTTAATGGGTCTTTGCACATTTAAATGACAGCGTCCTAGAAGACACCATGACCAGTTGTGAGTCACAGACAGGCTCTCAGGGGAAAAAAAATATCAAGGTATGATCTGGAAATGGCCACATCTTTAAGGCTCTCCTCACACACAAAGACTAGCATGCAGAGAGGAAAATCATACTTGCAGTAGAGTTTAACAGTTCTACACTTGGTACAAGCAGGATTGCTCAGATAAGCAATGTTAGCAGCATGTGGCTTAGAGACCTTCCCATTGCTCCCAAAAGCCATTGCAACCCCTCTGAGTGCTTAAAGGCCAGGCAGCAGGATTCAGTAGGTTCCTCTGTGCTCTAGAAAGCACAGGATAGGGCTCTTAATTGCTTGTTGAAACCAGCTCAACTGTCTGTGTTATGTTACAGGAAACCTGTTCATCACACCCCATTCAAACTTGTTTTCTAAGTAAGGGCATCAAGGAAAAAACCAAGCAACTTGAACCCATGCGACTCTGCTCCTGTTCAGGACAGAGTATTAAACCTCAGGGAGGGACTGGAGTTGGGGAAAAAAAAAAAGTCACCAGACAAGTCAGGTTTTCAGTATTGACCTTTATTGAGCAAGAACTGCTGTGACTGTTTTACATCAAACAACAAAAGGTTGCATACTGTGCATGTCAACTAGGTTCTCCCATGAGCAAAAGTCCACCCTAATTGCACCAGTGAGGTAAACATAATTATTTATAAGTAGCTTTGTTTTTTTTAAGGCTAGGAGAGTTCTGGTTCTCATGAATATTCTATTACTGTTTTCTGTTTGTTTTTGGCTCAGTTGGTTCTTTGCATAATACATCTTAAGTCATTCCTCAGATATGTCCCTCCAACAGCTCAGGAAATTCAAAAGCTTCCTTTGCACATTTCGTCTCATGCACTATTATTTGTATTATTTTTTTAGATGCCCAAGCTCTGTGGAGGGAGTACATCTTGAGCCTGCATGCATTCCCCCCCCCTCCCCTATATTGCACAAAAAAAGTAAAATACTGTGTGTCTGGAGCCTCCATGAGAGAACCCGTTCTGCTTTGAAGCCGTCACTCACATGCATTTTGCAGCTGTCATATGGCTTAACCTTTTGCACCGACCCAAGCTCTTGAATTTTTTAATTTAGCTATGGTTTATTTTATTCGGTCTCTTTAATCTCTTTTACTACAGCATGTGAAGTAACTTTCTCCACTTTCTTGGTGGACACTAATTTCTCCTCAAAGCTTTCTTCATGTTCCTCTACCTTCTGAGTGACTGTCACTGACTTTGTGATATATGTGGTTGTACTGTCCCCACCTTCACCCGTGATTTTCTCTGCTTTTTTGGTTACTACAATTTTCTCACCCTTATCATCAACTGGGCTCACATCTAGGCCATTGGTGACAACTCCCTTGTCTTCCTCCTCAGCTTCCTTCGCTTTGGATTCCTCCTCTTTCTCCTCCACCTCCCCATTCACTGCAATGTCTTCTTTCCTGGACTCCTTCTCTACCTCAGCACTGATTTTTGTTACCTTTGTGACTGTGATGGTCTCCTGGACCACAGCCTTTTCGTCTTTGACTGGCGAGGCTGGGCTTTCTGTCTCTGGAGTCAGCGGCTTTTCTGGGGAGCGTGGCTTTTCCGGGGTTGTTGCCTTTTCTGGGGAACGGGGCTTCTCCGGGGTCGCTGCCTTTTCTGGGGTCACAGCTTTCTCTGGGGTTGCCAGCTTCTCCGGGGTCGCTGCCTTTTCTGGAGAGGTTACCTTTGGTGTTGCTGGCTTTTCTGGGGATGCTGCTTTCTCCTCTTCCTTGGCTGGCTTCTCCCCACCCTTCTCCACCTTCTGTTCTTTCCCTGCTTCTGCAGCTGCTTCTTTCTGGACAGCCTTGGCCGGCTCTGTTACAGGGGATTTAGGGGGGGATTTAGGGGGTGACTTGGCAGGAGGTGTTTTGACCTTCTCTACCTTTGCTGCTACCTCTTCAGCTTTGCCCTCAGCCTCAGCTTCAACCTCTTCCTCAGCCTCCTCCCCTTCTTCCTTCTCCTCTATTTCTTCTTTTTCAGAGCCTCCTTCTTCCGCTGCGTCAGATTTTGCAGCTTCTTCCTCCTCTGCTTCCTCTTCCTCCTTCTCCTCTTCCTCAGGTGCAGCTGCTTGCTTTGCAGCCGCCTTCTCAGCAACAATTTCTTCCTCTACAGCTGCTGCTTCTGCTTTTTCTTCCTCCTGTTCCTGCTGGGCCTTGGCTGCCATTTCTTCTGCAATAGCTGCTAGGGCATCTTCCATTTCAGACTTCTCATCCTCTACCTTGGTCTCCTCAATGATTTCTTCTACAAACTTGTGCTGGACCTTCAGCTTTGGTGGTTCAATTTTTGTCTTCTGAATTTTAGTGGATGCTATTGTGACAGATGGTTGTCTGTGTGTGAAGATGGGTCCAGTAATGCTTCCAGAGAAGGCACTGAATCTTGTCTCTTCACCCTCCAGGAGCTTCCTACGGCAATCAGGAGAATGAAAGAGACCCCAATGAGCATAGAAATCCAACGTAAGGGACAGCGATTAGAATATGCCCCTGTCAGCAGGATGAAACCAGTTTGTGTGGCATACACTAGAGCTGATCAGCATAATCCATTGCTCACAAGCCCCAGTTCAGCTTTCCTTGAATCAGCTCTTTTGCTAAATTCAGCAAACAGCTATGAGCTTGGTTTGCATGTAGCAAGTGTAACACCTTCGGCTGATCTGCTGAAATTCATCTTTTACGTCAAAAACATTATGGCATAAGTTAGATTATGGCAAAATAATTAACATCATAGCATGGATTAAGACTTGGGCAAACTGAGAATTTGACACAGCCAGACCCAAAACAAATATTGTAGCTGAGACACTCAAAGCCAACTACAGCGTATATGCTAGTTTGGCAGTTTTGGGCATCCACCTTTCTTGTGTGGCTGTGAAGAGACTTTAGTTCAGCTAACTTTGGCAGCAAACAGCTATAGACCCTGGGGTATCTGTGTGTTCATCTGAACAGCCTCAGGAATGTAAGCAGGTCTGGAAGCGGGGTTTTTGGCTTTACTTTTCTTTTCAAATGTGTTTCATCTAAGCCCGTGACCCAGAAAAATCAGCAGTTCTCCGATGAGAGTTCTGAAGTGATGCAAAAGAGGCTAAAAAAAACCTGCCAGGCGATGGCAATAGCAAGCAGTGTTCCTGCTCCAGATTAGAGTGGATGCCTTGAAAGGAAAGTTGAACAAGAAAAGAAAAAGTGTGACAAGCAGGTTAGCTCTCCCTGCTTGAAACCATGATCAAGCAAGCGTGCTGCCTCTCTGAAGAGATAAAAGAGAATTCAAGTAACAAGCACCACTTGCTTGGCATATGCAAAGCCAACAGGAATTAAAAATAACCTTGTCTTTTGCTGCGTCTCCTGCTTGTGTAAACAAGGGCAGAATGCGGCACTGGGGTGCCGCCGCACTGTCACCCTACCCTGCGCCCCAGCTCGCTGGGAGCTGCGCCAGCAATTACAGGGGCCCCTAATGAACTCTGGGGTCTTACTGCAGATGCGCAATGGTCTGGGCAGATTCTGAAACAGTTGTAATAATTCAGTCAAGCTCTGATTTTACTTGTGTTCACTGCATGTGGATATTCCTTATCTGTATTAAGGCTTCCCAAACCAGCAGCCCCTGCAGTGCCACTGGCATTCCAGGCGCATCCGCAATGATCCTACTGTACCTGTATGCAGCGATCTCAATATCCAGGGCCATCTTGACATTGAGGAGGTCCTGGTACTCCCTCAAGTGACGTGCCATTTCCCACTTCGTTCCTCTAAGCTCGTTCTCCAGCTGATGGATCGTGTCCTGCAAGGGAGACGCAGAAAACCTGAGACACAGACACGGGCTTTGCGCAGAGCCCGAGCGGCTCAAGTTCCCAAAAGGGACTTCCCGAAACTACTTCCTCCTCCCGGGGAGGCATTGCCAAGAGCAGAGCGGGACCCGGCCGGC